GCCCCCCCCCCCCCCTCTCTATATATAAATTTTTGCTTTGTTTAATTTAATTTCAATTTTAAAAATGTTTAAAATATAAAATTCGTGGGACTTAAATCCCTTTAAGGCTTATGCTTCTCTCCGTGACAAGTATCTCGCTGTCGGTACCTGTGACCATGCCCGTGAAAAATACTTGGTGACAAATTGAAAGATAGCCTACTTCTTTTTGAAATTGTAGAGGATCTTTCTTGGAAGTTTGGCAGTTAGGAGGATTTCTGAGAGCCATAATGCTAGGCTTTTGACTGATGCCCTGCTGGCCAGTATGCTTTAACCGCTTAGACCAGAATAATGTTTGTTTAAAATATAAAATTCGTGGGGGACTTAAGTCCCCTCAAGGCTTATGCTTCTTTCCATGACAAGTAAAACACCTTTTCTCATCGCTCCTGCTGTCGGTACCTGTGACCATGCCCGTGAATAATACACGGTGACAAATTGAAAGATACCCGACTTCTTTTTGAAATTGTAGAGGATCTTTCTTGGAAGTTTGGCAGTTAGGAGGATTTCTGAGAGCCATAATGCTAGGCTTTTGACTGATGCCCTACTGGCCAGTATGCTTTAACCGTTTAGACCAGAATAATGTTTGTTTAAAATATAAAATTCGTGGGGACTTAAGTCCCCTCAAGGCTTATGCTTCTCTCCATGACAAGTAAAACACCTTTTCTCATCGCTCCTGCTGTCGGTACCTGTGACCATGCTCGTGAATAATACTTGGTGACAAATTGAAAGATACCCGACTTCTTTTTGAAATTGTAGAGGATCTTCTTTGTAAGTTTGGCAGTTAGGAGGAATTCTGAGAGCCATAATGTAAGGCTTTTGAGTGATGCCCTACTGGCCAGTATGCTTTAACTGCTTAGATTAAAATAATGTGGTAAAATATAAAATTTATGGGACTCAAGTCCCTTAAGGCTTATGCTTCTCTCCATGACAAGTAAAACATCTTGTCTCATCGCTCCTGCTGCCGATACCTGTGCCTGTGCCCGTGAACAATACTTGGTGACAAATTGAAAGATACCCAACTTCTTTTTGACATATGGAGGATCTTTCTTGGATGTTCGGTAGTTAGGAGGAATTCTGAGAGCCCTAATGTTAGGTTTTTGACTGATGTCCTACTGGCCAGTATGCTTTAACTGTTTCTACCAAAATAAATTTCTCCATTTCTTGTTGGGTCGTCCAAAATAATGTCTGTTTGCTTGAAACAGGAACCTCCATCTATTCCTGGAAAGAAAAAATTTACCCGCCATCAGATGATCGCCATCTAACGCTAAAAAATATTGTTTAAGCCTTTCTTTTAAAGGCAATGGTGAGCCGTAAGTTGACTTCCAGTCGGGCACAGTACGTTGTTAGGCTTGGGAAAACTGGAAATCTCTCAGGAAGTCTAGCTTTTTCTGTGTTAATACTATATCTACTTATCTAGTAAGATTCCTAAGGCTGTGATTGTGTTACTTTGGTTAAGTCTTATGATCAGATCTGATTATCGTCTCTGTTTGGTTGTTAGTCCTCTTTTTATTACCTATATCTTTTTCTGTGATCTGTCTCTGTTATTAAAGAGAGCTATATTGTTCTTCAATTAAGCCGGACTATCTTAACAGTAAGTAGTTCACTCAATCCTTGTGCATAATAATATTTGTATAGTAGATATTATTTTCAATTGTTGGACCACCTAGTTTCAGAACTATTTTTCTGATTGTACTTCCTTTGATTCTCTTAGTGCCTTCTAACCACTTGCAATATTTGCAGAATCAAGTTCTAAACGTTTTCTTCATTTGAACCCACGAGACTATTACTATCTGCAAAACTCCTTGACCCTCTTTCATTCAGATTCGGTCATTGGAAATTATACCTCCTCTTCGTTAAGTCCCCAGAGATCAGGACTTTTCCCCCCTAGCTCTTGCCGATAACCATATTCTTTGTCCGTCCAGTTCCAACTTCCTACAATGGACCCACTCTACCGGAAAAAAATATGGCCAAGGATTGGACACCCTTCCTTTTTATTTAATTATCTTTTCTCTACCTCAACTCACTTGTTCCATCATTATTTTTTTTGTCCCTGACATTTCTATTTTTTTACGCATAATTTGAGATTACGTAGGATGGCATGAGATAACAGTCGTATAATTTTGAGAATTCCTTCCTAGTTTTGATTGGGGACAAGAGGAAGTTGAGTGGGACAGTGGGTGAGTCATCATCTTTTGTCTTGAACCCTGAATCCTCAGCATTCACCTTAAAATTGAGCGAATTATTGCTGCAACAGTTTTTGCAAAAGTTCTGATGTGCTGAACTTTTTTGGTCGTAAGCCTTAACTTCCTTTTTTTTTTTTTTTAATTTTTATAATGGGGAAGGGGAGATTACAAGGTGGGGAATCGAACCCTCACCAACAAGGTGAAAGTTAGGTAGCCAACCAACTGAGTTACTAAGATCCCCGTAAGCCTTAACTAGTTCTTAGCTTTTTTTTAGATTGGTTAGTGTCATTTCCACAACGTATCATTGGTCTTGGCTCTTAGTTGTGTTTTCATTTGTTGCAGGTTGAACCAATCCGGAACTTCTTTGCTGCCCTTTTTCTATCCAGCATTGGCATGCTTATCCATGTTCATTTTCTCTGGAATCATATCGATATTTTACTGGCAGCTGTTATATTGGTCGTCATTATCAAAACTATTGTGGTTGCCGCAGTAGTCAAGGGTTTCGGTTACACCAATAAAGCTGCACTTCTTGTAAGTAGTCCAAACTGTTTGACCAGAAAGGTTGCTCTAGTGGTAGAGATCCCTTCACCTCCAACCATGAGGTCGGGGGTTAGAGTCACTAAGGGGAAAAAGTGGAGAATACCACTGTGGCCCCTGAGCAGGAGGGTTCTGGTGGGTAGGGTTCCCAAATCAAAAAAGTACTCCAAACTGTTTTATGTCCTACAGTGTTATCAAAGGCGAAAAGCGCAAAAAAGCTCTCAGATCCATTGGGGCTTTAAGCTCAAAGCGCAAATATAGCGTGGGAGAAAAAAAATGCAAATATGTATATGTAGGCCAAGAATAATTATAAGCATGAATAACAAATATGTGGACGATGAAATTGAAAAAAAAATTACGATAAAGTGAAATTTCAATTTTTTCGTGTCGCCTCTTCAGGATTATGCTCATTGGCAAGGAAAAGTATGCCTTAAAGTCTTGATGGCGACATTGAAGTGCCCGCTAAGTGAGGCAAAACACTCAACATGTTTTGAGCCTCGCTTCAGGGCTTCAATGCGCTTTAAGTGCGCCTTTGACAACACTGATGTCCTAAATAAAGCAGTTGGTTAAACTCTGTATTTGTACCTCTACCTTTGCATCACGAAGTCTTTTTTGAATGGTATGTCCAGGTTGGAATGTCTCTGGCTCAAATAGGGGAGTTTGCATTTGTTCTTCTCAGTCGCGCTTCAAATGTTCATCTAATTGAGGTAGTGGTTCAGTTAAGTACTTTGCCAGCAGAACTAGAAAATATGTTCTTATATTTGTTTGATAATATGATGTCGTGCTACTTTAAGTAGCACTTGGGAGGAATTTCTGTTTATAAGACTGGAATTGCAAATGATTTTATAAATTTGAGGAAAACTCTCTTGTTTCTAATTTCCTTTTGGTGCACCCATGAGGTCCCTATTTGTATAGAAGACTGGCTGTCTTTTGTAGAGAACCGTATTTTGGTGTAGATTCTCTACCTTTTGATATACGAGTATTATATGGGTTTTCCTCTTTTACCCAATCGAATGAATCGTAATCTCGCTACTTCCCCTTTCTGTCCTCCACAAATTTACTTACCTTATCAAAAGAGGAACATCTGTTTGCACTGTCGTGAAATAAAAAATTGATCAAGTAAAAAAATACTCGTAATGCTATGCTTGTGTTGCCACTCCTTTATGTAATTTCAATCTGGGTTGATGTTAAGGATTGATGACCTTGTGATGAAGTAATGAAATTTGGTCGCTGCTGCAGGGTAAAGTGTATATGCTGCTTCTGGGCACAACTGCACTTAGCCTGGTATGTAAAATATGTTGCTTTCTCCATTTTTAACACAAATAGGAGTGTGCCTTATGTCTCTCTTTTTTGACTTTTAAAGATTCTCATATCTGTTTTTGTTGTTGGCAATCATGTTAAATGGTTCTGCGCACTGCAGGCTCTGTACCCCCCCACCAATGGCGGAGCCAGGATTCCTAACAAGAGGATTCCAAAAAAAATGCAAAAATGCTATATATAGAAGCTTCTCTTGTGTTAAGGGGATTCAATAGTGTATATATATATACAAAAAATATTTGTTTTTACCCTACTTGCACAGTGTAATTTCCGGATAAAGGGGATTCAGTTGAACCCCCTTACCGGTTAGCCTTGACCAACTGCACCTTTAGAGTGTTTTGAGATTCATGGTGACAACTTCACTTAGTGCACCCTTAGGTTGTGAGCACAAGCCTAAAAAGGTGCTAATGGAAGGGCGTAGCATTAATCTGCCTCGATATATAACTCTCCTTTTGAATGCTTTATGTTTCAATGAGTAGCCTAATTCTATTGAAATTTCATGGCCCAGGCAGGTTTTCCTAGTATGCTTAATCTGCTAGTCATCAGGGTAGGGTTTCACATGGTTCAAGGTTTAGGGTTTAGGAATCCTTTTTTTGAGAAGGTAACGTATCTGTATATATATAAACAGGAACTACACAAAGCAGTGTCATCCTTCATAATTACAAACAGAAGTACAATCTGATTTCCTATCCCTAACTACCTCATAAGTAGTCTAAGGCTTCAAAAATGGACTCAGCTTCTTGTAAATACTCTTGTTTACACCAAAAATAAAAAAAAGCACTAAGCAGTTCGTCTTCAACTTTTGGATGGAACTGCTATTGTCTTCAAAACATCTTTGATTTCTCTCATTCCAAATTGTCCATCAGATGCAGACTGGGTCAATCTTCCATCGCTCCTTGTGTCCTGGCAGGTTACCATCTCTATTCCAGCATGGTAGGACTTCCTGGATTCTCCTTGGCATGATCCACCTAATTCCCCTCAAGTTAATGAACAACTTCCATAATTGATCTGTTATTCTACAATGTAAAAGAGATGACTGATTGTCTCTGCCTCAACACCACATAAAATAACATCTGGAACATAACTGGAATCCCCCCTTGATGAGATTATCTTGAGTTAATCTCATCAAGTTACTGTTGGTCATTTATGCCTGGTCCAGAATTTTATCAGGTAACCTCAAAATACCACCAATGAGCCTCTGCAAACTGTATTAATTATTTGGAGAAGACAAATTATCAGCATTACATGGCCCAATCTATTTTTTTTGGAATGTTCACTATAGTAATTATACTTAACTGTTATACTTTGTTTTAAAAAAACTGCTGGTATTTTGTGCTCAACACCGTTACAACACCATTACATGGCCCAATCCATTTCTGCAGGTTACAACACCGTTGCTTTTCAAGCTAACTCCTGCTGTTGTGCACCTTGGTGTTCTACTGAGATGGTTTTCCCCTGATATACCAAATGAGGTAGCTCTTCCTTTAAAAACTGCTGATTCTCTCTGTTTTATCAGCCTGTCTACACTTTTAATGGTTTTTCTCGGAATACTCGGGTTAGCTAAGAGTTTTGAGGTATCTTCAAAATGATTTTTCATCCCAGATTGGATCTAAAGGAGATATCATGCGTGCAGACAGTTCTAAGCGCATTACTGTGCTGATCCAAGGCCCTCATGATTCATGATAATAAATAGAAACATGAACCAGTAAAGCGATTCTCACACTTACCTGATGGCATTATTATGCTGGGGGACAGGTGCCCAAGAGTGCAAAGGCTGTTGACTGATTGGACAATTTATCATCATGAAGCTCCTTTTATGCGCCAATCGGATGGTTTTGTTTGATATATCGGAAACTGGTCGCCACATGCAGAGCGTGTATAGATCTATCTGTAAACAATATTCTGGCACTTGTTTCCTGGTATGGTGTTACTCCCCAATGGACTACTCTGTACAACCTCGTCATTTGTAATGCAATTGTTTATATTCTTTAATCTCTAGTTTGATTTTGTGGAATTGGTGTCTTAATCAGGTTTCTTAAAATTTCAAGTTGACAAGTGTAAATAGCTGATATACATACTATTAGAGTGTTAGCAATGAAGTCATGCATTTTATTGTATACCACTGATCCTATGACCTCCATTTGTTTCACGAATTCATTGATTTTCTGCAAGTCCTTTTTTTTTTTTTTGTGCATACTCTGTTTGCCAAAAAGATCTGTCAAGTCTTTGCATATTGAGGCTCTGTGAGTAATAGATTTGTGGCACTCTTTAGAACTACAAAACGACAAAATGGTGATGGAAAACTTTGCTGCCCGATTTGATTACTAAGTAGCAGGTGATAGTTGATCCGAAAGAGTTCATTAAATGTGGATGTCAAATCAAGTCAGGNCCAAAAGCTCTACAGATTCTTTTGTTGTCTTCCCCTTTGTCCTTCTTTATATATATATATATATATATATATATGGGGTAGGTATGCTGGGAGAATTCTGTTTGATAATGTCCCTATTTTTTCGAAGTCTGCACTTTATGACGAAGCTTCTAAAGGAAGAGGCAAACGGCTTAACTAAAGACCACAGGAAAGGGCTTGTGAGGGAGGGTTGTTGTGGTCGACTCTTCACAAAGGTTAGCATTTCTTGCTTCTCTATAACTTCTAGTAGCGTCAGCTATAACCACAGCTTTTTAGCAGGTGTGTCAGTTTCTTTATCACAGTCTCCTATGCATTTCTTTTGAAACCACGCAGTCGGGTAATAACATAAATTTCCCAAATCCGGCAAATTGGCTATCACAAATTCATTGATTTTTAAAGAATTTGGGTGACATCTTAAATAAAAATTCCATATATTTTCTCTTGCTTGATAGATTGACAATGTTGATCTTCTAGTTAATTCTGAATTTTCATGTTTTTCTTTGGACTAGGGAAACAATGCAATCTCTAACGATAATCATTAAGCTTATTTATTCAATACAGACACCAAACCAATACATGTATGGAGTGCAAGTAAAATTGTTCCGCTGGGCATGTTACCAAGGGACAATCTCCATCCCGTGTGAACTAGGAGCACATGCAAGTTTACGTAATCAAAAGATTGCTTTTGATTTATCAATCCATTAACTACTAGAAAATAATCAAGAGGATAGAGACTTAAGCCATGAATTCAACCCCTTGCAAAAAAGCAAGGTCTATCCAACACGGTTTGATCCTTCACTGGACCCCAATAGAGAGCTTAGTGCACAAACTGTTGCGCTTCCTGTTTGTAATAGATAGAGAGTGAATAATGATTGATCTTCCAAACTAATAGAGCGATTGAGTCCGGCTCAAGCGAGTGAAAGGCATGTTTTGGAAACTAATAAGAATTCCAACCATCTTTGGTTGCATAAATTGTGTGTATTGTGTTAGAAAAAATAATGCATCATGCGAAAATTAACAAAAACAAAAATAAGTATATTAAAAGAGGCATAATACTTTAATATGGTTTGATCAAGTAACTCACATATGAATGATCCAATAAAATAAAAGAGCATAAAAAAAACTCTCAAAATCTAAAAGATTACATTGTGGATGCTATTGTATTATTGTGCGAGAAGAAAAAATTCTCAATTTATGAAAGTGCAAAACTTCTCCTCAAAGAAAAGGATAAATATGGAAGACAAAATATTTTCTATCAAGAAAAGTAATTCAAATTATGATAGAAAATCAGAGCAAACTCTAACGACCGATTGCCAACGCAATTCCAGTGGCAGTCCACTATCAGTTCTATAAAGCCTAATAACAACTTCTGGTTTCACCCATCAAGTACCAGTTGTTTGTGCCCTTTATTTTTTTTAAAGTATAGGCGTCCATCATCAAAAAAATATTAATCACCAGCTCATTTGCTGTCTTATTAGTCATTCATCATGGTCATGGACAAGTATCTCTTTTTATGATGATTTACAAATACAACTCAGAATTGCAATATGTTTTATGACCCTTTCCTACCTACAATGAATGAATCACAATATCTCCCTCCCCTATGTCCATTAAAAGAATTTCACTTTCCTATCTACAACCCATATATCTAACCTTTTCACCCTTAAATTAAATA